GAGCGGCCCGCGGGCGCCGCGGCCTTGGCCCGTGTTTGCAGAGCCAGGACGCCAGCGGGGGGCAGAGGGGAGGCCGCAAAGCGGCCGGGCGCCAGGGCCGTGCGCGGCCAGGCTCTCGCCCCGCGGCAGCTGCCCCCGGGCGGCCGCGCTCAGCTCAAACGGCCCCGCGCCGCGGCGTGAGCAGCACCTGGAGGGCAGCGTGGCGCAGGGAGCGAGGCGGCAGCCGCTTCGCCCCTGCCTCAGCCCTTGCCCCGGTGCTGGCCCCGGGAGAGAAGGGAGAGGCCACCCGCTGAGACAGCAGCACCCTGCGGGAGGGGCAGGTGCCGAGCAGAGGGGCGCGAGAGGCGYCGCACGGGCCCCTACCTGGTACAGCCTGATGATGTGCGGGTGGCAGAGCATCTTCATGATCTGCACTTCTCGGAAAATCTTCTTGAGGTTCTCGTCGTCCAGCTGCGTTTTATCAATGATCTTTATCGCGACCTGGCAGAAAGGACGAACAGGAGCTGTTGGTGACCACAGTGCGCGTGCAAAGGCCTCAGCAGCGCAGCGCCGCGCTGCAGGGCGCCCAGCACCACCGGGCAGSCCCCGCAAAGGGCAGCGGGCCGCTCCACCCCGCATCGGGCGCGTGCCGCACAGCGCCGCGCTCGCCACAGCTCCGGCACCGCGGGACCGGTCGCGCCCAGGGGCGCGCAGGGCTGCGCGAGGAAGCCGTTCGGAAGCGGCTCCGAGGCGTCACCCATTCCCCGAGCAGCTCCACTGCATGCAGGGCAGCCAGAAGCGGGGGCGCACGGCAAGGCCGGCCCGATGCGGCGGTCGCTCCCGCTCGTGGCGACGGCCGCAGGTTGGCAGCAGCTCGGCCGCGGCACAGCCCGGCGAGCGGCCGTGGCGACGGCAGGGGCGCTGCGCGCGATGGCAGCGCGCCGCCCGCGGGAGCCTCCTCGGCAGGAGGGCCCCTTGCCCACAGGAGGCGGCTACTGCCCAGCTCAAGGCCACGCACACTCAGCGGTGTCCCCGGGCCGCCCCGGGCGCTTGGCGCCCCGCAGCCCAGAGGCGCCCGCCGAGCAGTGCAGGGGCTGGCAGCAGCGCCACCGCAGCGCTGTCCCCCAAGAGCTGCCGCTGCAGGTGCGAGCGTGGCCCCGCCGCAGGGCTGTGCCTGCCTTGGGGAGGGCTGCACAGCCCGCAGCCCCGTGCCGGCGCCTTCCAAGCGCGCCCGCACACGCCAAAAATAYCCAGTTCCCCGGGAAAGCTCCGGGAAAGCACCTCGTGCTGCGCTTTGAGGAAGCGCGGAGCTCCCTCGAGCAGGGGCCCTGCTGCAAGGGGGAAATTCCCTCGGCTCCCCACGGAAGGGAGAGCGGGCGAGCGCCGGGAACGTCACGCAGCAGGAGCGGGGCGGCCGCCAGGCCCTCGTGGCGCAGSGGGCAGAGGCGCTGGGCCCTGCGGGACGCGGCTCCAGGCGGTCCCGCGTCACACTGCCCGTCCCGCAGCGGGGCGCCTGCGCTTGGCTGCGCACGGCTGGCACTCAGAGGGCGCGTCTGGCCACGCGCCAGGACTGCCACGCAGCGCCCCGGCCCCCTGCGGGTGCTGCAGCGAGGGGGGAGGCACGGCGCGAGCGCMCCGGGCTGCGTCCCGCGGCGGCGAGGAGCTGCTGCACGGACGGGGAGCGCTCCTCGCGGCGGCACGCGAGTCGAGCGGCGCCGCACACCCAGCACGGCRCAGCCTGCCCGCACGAGCCCCGGGCCAGGAGGGAGGCACCTCCTGYGCAGAGGTGCCCGCCCCCGGGGGACGCAGCAGCCCAAACCAGGCCATCCCGCAGCCATGGTGGCGCCTTTTGGCGGTGGTGCCAATGTCAAYGCTGGCAGCAACGGTGCGCAGGCAGTGTGCAGCTGGAAGCACCCCGAGAGCTTGCTGCTGCTCCGGAGGGCAGGCAGTTACCAGCGCACCCGTGCGCCCTGTCGCAGGGGCTGCCGTGGCGCGCCCGGCACCAGGCGAGGGCAGCACCGGCGTGGCCCTGCTGCCCACCCCTCACCGTGCTGGTGCACGGATGCGCGCCGGGCACCGCGGCGCTCTGCATCGGCGGTGCCGTAGCCGAGGTGAGCCGTGGGGCTGCCGCGTGCCGCCCGCACGCACACGGCGCCCGACGCGAAGCAGGCGGCTCCGCCAGAGCCCGCGCTGCAACGAGGGCCTCGAGCGCATGTGCCCGCGGCGCTCGCTCCCGGTGCCGGCCGCGTGCGGCACGGCCGCAGCTCGGCGCCTGTCCACGGCAGGGAGGCAGCGCGGCTTGGAGAGCGGCTTTCAGSTGGGCAACGGCACAGCTCCAGTTGCGGCTGCTGCTTCTCTTTGGCCTCGCAGATCAAGGTCCGGGGAGCCAGAGAGCGGCCAGTACCAGAGCATGGGCCGCTGGGACGAACGACGCTCCGAAAGGGCCAAATTTCTGGGGAATGTTTAAATACCGAAGAGTAAACACTGAGTCAGAGGCGGCACTAARCGCAGGTAACTGCAGCGGGGCACGTGGAAGCAAAGCCGCAGCCTGGAACGCGCTCAATGCCTCTCCTTGTGAGCGGGCCGCTCGGGGCCCTGCGCAGGACAAAGTCTCTTTGATACTGGCAGAAACGGCAAGAAAACAAAGCACGAGCAAAGAAAGGGCAGGCAGAGAGGCGCGGGGATGCGGCCGCACGCACACGCTGCACCCGCCCCGCCGCTCCTGCGCCCTGGCCCCGCACGCAGCCCGCCCRCAGAAGGGGCACGGCCAGAGTCACTGCGAGCACACGCGCGTTGCCATCTCTGTGTCAGGCACGCAGGACGAGCTAGCAGGCACCGCCTGCACGCGCACAGATGTGCACGGGCCGGGCCCTTCGGCGGCACCTCGTCCCGAGGTGGCCCTGCGCAAGCCCAGTGGCACGGGGACACTGGGGACACTGGCTTGCACACACATCACCCCTCCTCAGCCCTTGGCACCGCTCCAAGAGCGGGCGGGAACATGCACCGGAGCGCGGCGGTGCCCGGCGGTGTCCCGGCACCGCGGCCTCGGCACGCGCCCTGCCCGCTCGCCGTGAGCAGGCTGTGCGCGGACACGCACGGGACACTTGGCCCTCCGTGCGCGCTGGTGACAGGCAGGAGCCGCCCCGCGCTCCGTCAGGCCGAGGGGCAGATYCCCGGGAGCGCTGGGCTCGCTGCGGCGCGCAGGCAGCGCTCCACGCACCCCCAGCTCCCACTACGTCCCCTCGGGAGCACAGGGCAGGCGCTGGGGAAGGCCGGCGCTAGCGCTCCCGGCTGCACACCGCGCACTCCTTGCTGCCTCCCGCTCTAGAGCCGGGCAAGGCAATTGCAGGGGCGCGTGGTGCGGAGCTCGGCACGGACACGGCTCTGGCCTGGCAGCCTGCAGCCCCTCGCGCCGTGCAGCACCGCGCCGCGCAGGGCGCCGCCCCGGCAGGCACACGCCGAGCGGGCCCGGCGCGCGCCCCGCAGCACAGCCCTGCGCACACGTTTCAGTCTGCACCCTGCGCAGCACCACGCGCACGCTGAGATGCCAACGTGCTGCGAGGGGCCTGCGCCGCCTGTGGGCACCCACAGCCCTGTGCCAGGCAGCCCGCGCAGCTCCCGGGCACCCCAGGTGCCACAAGGCTGCCGGGAGGGCGTCGCGGTGCGGCGAGTGTCCCTGGCACCTGCCCTGCACACAGGCGCACGGGGGGCCCGGACGGGCAGCGGCGCGGCGAGCACCGCACTGCACCGCGGCGGCTCCACGGCCCCGCGGCTCCCCGCACACACCGGGGGTCACACGCCAGTTACGCTCTCCCCGTGAGTCACTGCACAGGAATGCAGCAGCACGCAGCCGCGAGGGGAATCGCAGGGCTCGCAGCGGGCACGGCAGCGCAGCGCTCCTCTGCACGCGCCCGTCGTGCCGACGCAGCACCAGCAGCAGCCCCGGCAGCCCTGCAGCACACGACACCCGCAGGCGCAGCACCAGAAGCGCCAAACAGGACCCAAAGCAGCCCAGGGTGCTGCCGTGGCACCCAGATTCCAGCAGGGCTCAAACAGCTCCGTGGCGCCAGCACTGCCCGCCACGCACTGCGGCCGGACTCCACGACCAGCCACGTGCAGCCGCCGGGCGCACACCGGGCTCTCGCCGTGCCAGCATCCAAGTGAGGGCCTGGCAAGGACGAGGGGCCGCGCCGGTGCTCCCTGGGGCCCGGTGTGTGCAAGGGCTGACCCGGCAGGTCCGTCCTCACGGCGGCGTGCGGGGACAGCTCCGCTGCCAGCAAGCACGTCGCCGCGCGCCCACCCGCGCGAGGCTGCACCACTGCTGCCACAGCAGAGACCCGCCCTGCGCCGGGCACGATGCCCACGCCGGCCCCCCGCCGCAGCCCGGCAGGGCAGCTCCCTCAGCGGGCGGCCCCGGCGCATGTTGCCTCTTGCCCGGCCCTTTGATGCTCCCAGTCTCACACGGCTCCTACGCAGCGCGGGGCTGCGCTGCAGCTGCGGGGCCGGGCAGCCCCGACGGCAGCGGCCGGGCGCTGCTGCAGCGGCGGGGCGCGCTGCCGCGCTGCCCAAGTGCTACCGTGCTGTGCGGCCAGGCGCCTGCCGGCACCTCCTCCCGGGCATGCGAGCCCAGGACACCCCACGGGCAGGGGCTCCCTGCGGTCCCTGTGCCCAAGCACCCCTTCTCCCAAAGCCCGCTAGTGCCTCGGGGACGTTTCCCCGCACCTTCGGGTGGGGGGCTGCCCTGCCGTGCTGGCTTTGGGGAAGGGGCACCTAGAGGGCAGCCCGGGCACACACGGAGGCGCAGGCGGCGGCGCCGCTCGCGGGCGCCTCGGCGAGCGGCCCCGGCAGCCCCGGCACRGTGAGCGACCAGCAGCGCTCGCAGGCGCAGCAGCCCCGCGCGGTACCCGGGCACTGCTGCCGCCGGCAGCCCGGGCGCTCCTGGCACCCTGCAGGCGGCACCGGCAGCGCATCCCGGCGCCGCACCAGGAGGCGGCCCGAGCGGGGCCTCGCGCAGCCCCTCGCCCGTTCGCTCTCCGTCCTGGAGAGGGAGGCACCACGSGGGAAGAGCTCTGCACCCTCAGCCTGTGCTCACAAAGTGCTTTGCACCTCTAAAGCACTGCCCAAGCACTCCAGATCCCTCTGCACGTACCCGCTGGAAAGGCACCTGAGCACCCTGTGCCCAGCCCTGCTCCTCCTGAGCTCGCTGCCACACGTGCCACACAGCCCGTTGCCAGCCGCCCGCCTGGCCCAGAGCACAGGTCCCCACGGGCACCCCCTGCCCGCAGGGCACCCGGTGCCTCGGCGGGCCCCGACAGCACAAACGGGGACCGAGCACCAGTCCCCGTGCAAACGGGCACGCGCAGCAGGTGCAGGCGCCCTGGGTGCTGCTGCAGGGGCACCCGCCTGGCATGGCAGGAGGCACGCGGCACAGCGTCCCACGCACATGGGGGCACCCGCAGTGCCAGCTCCCTGCYGGCAGCAGGCGAGGACGGGCCGGGCGCACTCACTGCCCCACATGGCACCGCGGCACGGGGGCCGGCAGCAGCGCGGCCGGGCGGCCCGGGGCTCGCAGCGAGCGTGGACGGGCTCGGCGGGACGAGCCCCTGGTGCTCTCTGCCTCTGCGCACACTGACAGCAGGGCACGGTCACGGGCGGCGTGGGCAGCATGCGCACAAAGGCCCTGCCCGAGCCAACAAGCTCAGCAATGTAGCACAGCACACGAAGGGCGCTCAGCGGGGAGCAGCACAGCAGAGCGTGGCGAAGTGACCTGGAGCCCTGCTCCCCGTGTGGGTGCCACGAGCGCGTGGCACCGACGCGTCACAAGCCCCCAGTGGGCACCGAGCGCCGGGAGCAGGAACCGCAGTTCCCGCTGCGTGGCCGGCAGCGGGRCCGCTGCCCCGAGCTCAGCTGGCACAGGCTCCCCAAGGCACGGGATGGCCCCAGCGCGGGGCACCCGGGAGGCACCTACACGACATGGGCAGCCAGCACGGCCTCTGTGGCTGCAGCGCCCGCTGCTGCCCGCCCATCCCGCCGGGCACGGCCGCGCAGGGCACACCAGGAGCCCCTGCTGTGGCACACACTGCCCGAGGCCCCGCGCTGCCTGGCGCTGCGCGCGCTGCCCACACCCCCTGCGCCCCACACGGCCCCCGTGCCGCGCACGGAGCCGCACTCCAGACTGGACACGGCTCTTTGCAAGGAAGCGCTGCCAGGGCTGCCACTTCCCGAGGAGSAGGCAGGAGCCGGCAGGTCCCCTCCAGGTACCAGGGCGCCGGACGGCTGGGTTCGGTTGGGCGGGCGGTGCCGCTGCTCCTGCGGGCAGTGCTCCGCCGGGAAGGGCGCACGGCACACGCTGGCACTGCCGCCCCGCAGGCCCCTCTGCCGCTGCCCAGCCCCAYGGAGCGCGCTGGCACCACAGGGCCCTCGCGGGCTGCCCGGTGCCCTGCACGCAGCCCGGCGGCTGCGGCGGCCTCAGGCAGAGCCGCCCTCGGTGCCGCTCCCTGTGTCCCCTCCAGAGCAGGGCCTCGTGCGGAGCGGCCCGCGTGCCTGCCAGGGCCTCCGCAGCTGCCCCGAGCTCTGCGGCGC